TAGCTTGTTTAGTACAGTTTATGGCGAGGGATTGTCGTGGGCGCTGAGACCTAGGCTTATGATATTATTAGATATAATTTTGCAATTTCAAGATTTTTGCCATGATACGGTAGGATGTAGCTTGGTATGAATTAGTTAATTGGGCATGCAATTGGTAAATTCACATTGGTCACCCACTTGTCATGGAGTGAAGGGTCTTTGAGTTTCCTTTTTTTTTTTCCTTTCTTTCTATTTCTTTCTTTCTTTTTTTCTTTCTTTCTTTCTTTTCTTTCTTTCTTTCTTTTTCCTTTCTTCTTTTTTCCTTTCTTTTTCTTTCTTCTTTTTCTTTCATTTCTTTTATATGTGTTTTTATCATACATTTATTATTTATTATATATTAATCCATAGTATGTATTTTTATCATACATTTATAATTTATTATATATTAATCCATTGGATCCTGATGCTTCACCACCATAATGTGGCCTAAAATACGGGTATTAGGTTTACTTGAGCGGCCACTCTGACTGGCCTGTAGGTTTTCAGCTGGGCGGATTTGTCTTCCCTGTATTATGTTATTTTTTTTATTTATTTATTTATTTTTTTATGTATTATTTGATTATTTACTTTTTTATTATTATTTATTTTGTTATTATTTTTTATTATTATTATTTTTTAATTATTATTATTATTTATTTATTTTAGTATTGTTTATTTATTTTGTTATTATTTATTTATTAATTATTATTATTTGTTTTATTTATTAATTTCTTTTTTAGTAGTAGTTATTTATTTTATTGTTATAAGCTAGTTATTTTATTATTTATTTTTATTTATTTATTTATTTTATTTTTATTTATTTATTTATTTATTTTTATATTATATATATATTTTTTATTATTATTATTATTGTTGTTGTTGTTGTTATTATTATTATTATTATTATTATTATTTATTATTATTATTATTATTAATTATTATTATTATTATTATTATTATTATTATTATTATTATTATTATTATTATTATTATTATTTCTTTTTCTTCTTCTTTTTCTTCCAATTTGTCATTTGATGATCTGCCTTATCCAAATGGTAATGATGGTTTCCCTTTTACAGACTCTATATCATCTCTCTAGGTGATATATAACTTGATGCGCCGGGTGTTTCACATGTGAGACGCCTGGAAAAAAAAAAACAGTATCGGGCATCCCACTGGTGCAACTCTAGATCGGAGCTTGCGCTCTGATTTTGTTGCCCGTGGCGGGCGGCGGGCAGGCAGGTCTACAGGGCTTGTTTACTGGCCCGAGCACCGATGTTGAAGCCACCCAGAAACTATTATTTTTGGCTTCGAAATGTATTGACGCAAGTGGGTTAATAATCAGTTTTCTGGAATACGACCTACTTAGCCAGTCACAGCAGGCAATAGGATCCTGAGCACGGAAATAGCATCCTCTCTGGAGTCAGTGCTCTTCCAGCCATGGCTCATGGATGCTACATTTCACACTTGTCAATGGAAATAAAGCCCCTTCTTATTGCCTACGAGTCTAATCACCCTCTAAAAGGTTTGTTTACTCGTGGCGAGTCTTTCCTGTTACCCCAGTCTTAGCCGAAATACTCACAAAGGCAAGTTTGCATCACCCCTACCCCCTTTTTTTAGATATAGTCAAATTATTCAGATCAAAGGGGTTAAATGATAATTGTTTTACAGTTTCAAGATTACTTTATATGTTAAATGTTTTAACTAGTTAACACTTACATTGTTGGCGTCATGTCATACATGATAATTATAGATGTCATTATTTATTTTTTGTTATTTATTTATTATTTATTATTTTTTTATTATTGCCATCATTATCCAGTACTATCATTGTCATTAACAGTATAATTTCAATTTATTGAGTTTTGAATGCCTTGATCAGCATTTCAAATATTTATGTAACAGGCTATAGTAAAGTTAATGTTAATATTTTTTGTACATATAGTATTGAAAGAACAAGACTGTTAAAGTCAGTGTTTAGGTCAGAGTAATAAGAATAAATTGTAATATAGAAAAGTAATGTATATATGTATTTTTATTTTTTGATTATTTATTTATTATTTTTTAACATCATTGTTATTTTTTATTTTTATTTTTTTCATTTTACTTTACCCTCGTAAGTTTAGTTTCATTTGTATATTCCATGGTAGATTAAATAGATTTATAGATAAATTAAAAAATAAAAGAAGTATTAGGTTGATTAACCCACTAATGCTGGTATATTTTGAAGCTGAAAATAATTTTTTCCGGGTGGCAACAAAATCGGCGCGCAGGGCCCACCCGGAATCTGCCCTTGACGTATTCAAAGCGCAAGCTCCGATCGAACGGCACACTGGCGAGACGCCTGGCAATGTTTATTTTTTCGGGTGTCTCATATATGGGACACCTGTCGCAAATGGGTTAAGGGGAAAGTTGCTTACCTACTATGATATACATATATATATATATATATATATATATATATATATATATTATATATATATCCCCTCCATTTCTATCAATTGATATATGTAGTTTCAGATAGGAGCATTGAAATTTCTTTCCATTTAGAAAACAAAAAACTAGCTAAAAGCCATTTGTGATTTACAAAAGCTTCATGTTATTCTTTTTTCACTGCTTACTATTGACCCCTCTTTCTCCTTAATTATTATTATTATTATTGTTATATCATATATATATATATTTTTTTTCCTTAATTATTATTATTATATTATATTATATAATATGATAAATTATATATATGTATATATATTATATATATGTATATATATATTATATATATAATATATATATATATATATATATATATATTATATATAATATTATATATATATATATATATATATATATTTTTTTTTTTTTTTTTTTTTTTTTTTTTTTTTTTATGGACATGTATGTGTTCATGATTAACCTTAGGACAGCACCTTTTACCCATACCATATTAATTCACTAATGACGGGTGTCCCACATATGAGACACCCGAAAAAATCAACATCCCACAATGTTGCACTGTATCGGGGCTCGTGCTTCGATGTAGCAGCAGGCACGGGGATAGAGTCTGGGCCAGGCCCACACACCAATTTTGTAGCCGGAATCTTTTATTTTCGGCTTCAAGATATACTGGCGTTAATGGGATAAGCCATGCATTGAGTACTGGACATAGTCAGCTGTTCAAGGGAAACTTGTTTTACCTTCTGTGGTTTGGGCTGTGGCATTTACAATCTTTCAGTGAACAATGCTGAAATGATACTTTAAATATTCTTTGAGTGGCTATCCCAGCTCAATAAATGCTGTGCTAAACAAGTGAATAGCTGCTCATCTCATTGGATCCAGGGGATGTAGACGTCTTGCTATGCAAATATTGGCCGAGGGGTAGGGGAAGGGAATTTCATGTCATGGAAAATTGTTGCCAGTTGTTGGGCAAGAGGGGAATTTCCATCATGAGTGCACAAAGCACATAGAATGAGATTGCCGTAGCGGGTCTACAGGGCTTGTTTGTGAGCTTCTAAAGCATTTCTACGGGTACAAAAGGGTTAAGTTTACCAGGCAGTCAACCATGCTCGGGGCTACCTCTAGGGAGGACACGCTGTATATTCCTGCCTATTACCAGATAACACAACAAAACTTATTGTTACTGTTACTGCACTGATTGTAAACTACCTGGACATACAGTATAGAGTCACCTCAACAAATACGGTCTATTATTATTTCAGCATAGCATAACAATTATAGACCTCGGCTTACAGCATTGTAAAAGAATATATAGATTTTAAGTGGTCTCAGAGTGACACAGAGCCAGGAACTAAGGAAAGTGCACTTTTCACTGAGCCAAAGTTATTTGAAAGTGAGGACAGTGTTTTCCCACCATGTATTTCATTTGGGAAAACTTGATTGATTTAGGGTGACTTTGTAAGGTTTTCAGCTGAGAACTAGCTTTATTGAGGCTATAAGACTTCATGCCGGGATAGTAAAAACAACAGAGCAGCCTCCAATGTCGTTGCATATATAGGTACCATCTATCAAAATTGGCTAAGGAGCATTGGTGAAGGGCACGCCTATAGCTGTCTTATGACGTATGACAAGTATACCCGTCCTAGTCACCCATGTGAGGAAATGGGTTGGTCAACTGTACACAGCACTTCCCCTGCCAGGAAGACTGGATTGTTTTGCGTAATTATTACATCACAGAAAATTCTGGCCCTGTCACAGTATGGTTAAGGATCTGAAACTTTGTTCATTTCATGGAGATATTTGTCTTGCTTTTTTAGTGTCTTTAGTTGATCTAGAATTATGTGGTCATTTCCTCTGTTCACTAATCCCCTGGGACTCGTATGAAAGTGCTTGCTTTAGAAAAAATGGCTAATGTCTTTAAAGAATCTATATTGTGGGGACTAACAACAAAAGACTTGTTGAAAAATGTCCTTTATTTTTGCATGTGTTGACGAAATGAAGAATGGATACTTTACACAGATTTTATTACTTGTGTTACTAGTATATATTTATTTGTTGTCTTTTAAATTACAAACTTTATTTGATTGGAGTTTTATAAAAAGGGGATTTATATTTAATAGAAAAAAGTCGGTATCACTGCCATTGGATCACATGCACTTTTGAGAGGCAAGAATACTTACATAGAGAATATATTTTGAGTTTTCTAATTTTAGACTTCATATACAAAAAAGCCCTATAGATCCTTCAGGAAAAAAAAGACAACTATCAGCATTCAGTTCTTTCATAACCATGACAATTACAACCAATGTAATTTGTAAATATGAACACAATTACTTTTTCCAGCCTTGTGTTTATATATATATATATATATATATATATATATATATATATATTATATATATATATATATATAATATATATAATGTATGTATGTATGTATACTTTTCTGTCAGTAAGTTCTGTAATTGGTCTAGATTTTATACGTGTATAAAGAGTCAGGTGAAATTCTATAATGTTTACTTTCTTTGCAGAGGTAGCTTAATCAAGATGGTGGTGGCACAAGGGGGTCGGCTAATGCGTGGTGGGGGCATGGCAACCACAGGCTGTGGCATGACCCCCAAAGAGCTCTCAGACAATGACGACTTGGCAACAGCTCTTGTTCTTGACCAATACCTGGGTTTTGCAACTCACAAGATGAATGTAAGGTAAGTTATCGAAAGGTAATCGGCCACTTTCCTTTTTGATTCATGTGTTGTGTTTTGGATTGTAATCTTGAATAGTGTAAGATTAGGTTTTCATACATTTTTGCTCCTTCCCCTTCTACCTTTTAGTATAATTTTTATTTTTACATTTAATTGTATTTAATTTCATTGTATTTCAAGTAGCTCGAGAAATTCTTTCTTGTGAGTAATCCTGTAATTTTTAAAGACTTATTAGTCTCATGCTGGCTACTAGAAAATATACGTCAGAGAAAGGTTTAAGGTCTTGAGTAACTATAAACATATTGAGTAGGAGATAGATTGGCAAGAATGACATCATTTGTTTGACTGTAGACATTACTTTGTATTTATGTTCAAGAAAATGTATATTTCATTCACCATACCAACAAGTACCTCTTTCATGCAGGTACCGGCCACTAAGGGGAAGCAAAGAAGAACTCGGCCAGATAATTGAGGACTTCATTCAGCATCAAGACTATGAAAAGGCATTCAAACAACTAGTGTCTGGAGACTGGATGCCCTGGACCTTCTTCATCACAAAGAATAAACATCTCCAAGCTGCATTTAAGGTACATAACTTTTGTTTGTTATGAATTGCACCTTGTTCTCTTATTCTCAGTTCATTATGTAATTGTTTATTGATTTTTTATTGATAGATGTTGATGAAAAAATAATATAGTTTGTCACAGGTGTAGTTAAGATATAGTGCAAGGTATCTTGTCAAGTGCAATAGTAATACAAAAAAAAAAAAAAAAAAAAAATATATATATATATATATATATATATATATATATATATATATATATATATATATATATATATTATACTGGTGATAAGTAAATAAATGTAGATATTACTGAATTTTAAAAATGATAGAAACCTTAAGGCCGTGTCACACGAACTTTTTCTGTCAATTTTTTGACAATTTTATTTAACATAGATACAATCATTCTCGATTATAGCTCTTGATCTGACTATGCTTGCCTCAAAAAGTTGACTAAAGGTTTTCAAACGGAAACGATCATTATCGTCTGACTGGAGAATCAACAATTCGGTCAAAAATGGACAAAATTTCAGAAAATTGTCAAAAATAATTGACGGAAAGAGTGCAAGCGTGACAGCACCTTTTGAGGACTGTTGCTTTGTATATTTGTGATTTTTGTTGACCAGTAATCAATGAATTTAAGTGAATAGAAAAGTAAAAAAAAAAAAAAGGGGGGGGTAGCCTTTTTTTTTTTTTTTTTTTTTTTTTTTTTTTTTTTTCTTTCTTTCTTTTTTTCTTTTCTTTTCATTGTCTTTCACATCAAATTTACTAGTCTCTGAGGGTAATAAGTTTCACATTTTACAGGAACACGTATTTCGTTATCTGAGAGTGTTCGACAAGGACAGTGGATTTGTAGTAAAGCCATGTTACCGATACTCTATGGAGGGTTGTGTGGGGGCGCAACCAGGAAGTGGTGAGTAAATCTTCGTTATGAGTGATAGTAATTTGTAACGTTATGAAGTCATGATTATATAGGATATTTTAGGTTGTAAAATGTATTATTTATGATCAAGCACTTTTAGTATATGTGTATCTATATATTTTTTGTTCAGCTTTGTTCATTCTTGTTACATTAACCCCTTGGATCCGGTTGCTTCATGGCAATCACATGGACCAAAATACAGGCGTTAGGCTTACGTGAGCGGTAACTGTGCTGAGTGCCCAGCATGTAGGCTGGGTGCACACAAACACTCGTGTCTGGTGACAAAAATCTATGCCTCCCCTTTGCAATGTTATTTTCTTATATTTCATAAGCATTTTTAGCTTTTTTGACTTTCAATGTCCATAAATGTCATTTGATCTGCTTAATCCAGATGTTGAATTACTGTTTTCTTTGCACAAACTCCATATCACTCTAAGATATGTAGCATTTTGTTATATGTAAAATTTAAAAAACTTCTTTGTAATATGCAATTTTCTGTAATACAACCTGTGCCTCTGGTCACTGTGCCAAGAACAGGATGCTGAACATGGAAATGGCATCCTCACTGGAGCCAGTGTTCTTCCAGTCTTGGCTGACGGACTGGACCTTACATTTACCGATGAGAATAATGCAAAAGCCCTTTTGTTAACACCAAATTAGTTTAATCTCTCTCAAAGAGGTTTGTGGACTCGTGGGAAGCATTTCTCATTACCCTGGCCTTCACTTGTATGTATGTATATATATATATATATATATATATATATATATATATATATATATATATATATAATATATAGTATATATATATATATATATATATATATATATATGTATATGTATATATATGTATGTATATATATATGTATATATATATATATATTGTATAATATATATATGTATATTATATATATGTATATAATATATATATATATACATATATAATATATATATATATATATATAATGTATATATATATATATATATATATATATTATATATATATATATATATATATTATATATATAATATTATATATATTTAATATACATATATATATATATATATATATATAATATATATATTAATATATATATTTAATATATATATATATATATAATATATATATATATATATATATATTAATATATATATATTTAATATATAATATCTAAATATATATATATTTAATATATTATATATTATATATATATATATTATATATATATATATATATTAAATATATATATATTAGATAATATATATATTTATATATATTTATATATATATATATATATTATATTATATATTTTTTTTTTTTTTCCATGCGGCATGTCCATGTCATGTTTTTTCATGATATGATAGTCACGTCATCCGAATCAAGGGTTAAAATTCTGTTGGAAAACAAAAAGCAGTTACAGTTTTGATAAATTCCATCGTTATAATTGAAGTATTGTATATTAGATACCTTTAAACACTTATCTACTTACAATGGGTGTCACACATATGTGACACACCTGACAAAATAAACATTGCTGCAGTCCCACTGGTGTGACACTAGATCGGAGCTTGCACTCTGATTTTGTCGCCCGTGGTGGGCAGTGTGCAGGCGATTTTGATACTACCTGGAAACCGTGATTATGGGCTTCCAAGTGGACTGTTGTTAGTGGGTTAAACACATTGTTTAATTGCAAAGAAGCCATGTATGATGGTTGATTTTCAATTATTCAGCCAAAATATGTCAATTGGATTAAAGCTTTTTAAAAAAGGAGATTGTTTTTGTTTGTATTTCTAGTTCTTCACAGGAGTTTATATTATCTTGAGAGCAAGTTTTGAATAATTATAATTTTTTTTACAGGTACAAGAATGAGCAGATAGGCTATCTGGTGGGCTGTATTGCCGAGCTTAGTGAAGATGAGGAGACACAGCTCCTCCATCCTGGCAAGAATGATTTTTCTGTCATGTATTCCTGCAGAAAAAACTGTGCCCAACTGTGGCTTGGTCCAGCAGCTTTTATTAATCATGACTGCCGGGCAAACTGCAAGGTAAAGGAACTGATTAGTTATTTAATGGAATTATTTTCATATTTTTTATTTAATTCTTTTTTCAAGCCATTTCTCCGTGTAGTTCAGTATTCAATACATATGAACCTGCATATAAATACTTTGGGAAAAGTATAAATTTTCAGAATACTCTGTTCTCCAGTTTACAGCCACAGGGCGAGGAACAGCTTGTGTAAAAGTTCTACGAGATATTGAAGTAGGAGAAGAGATCACCTGCTTCTATGGGGAAGACTTCTTCGGCGACAATAACTCCTATTGTGAATGCTTAACTTGTGAAAGGTATGAGTAAAAAAAAGAAAAGGTGGTTTGCCAATATTGTGAAACCAGGGAAGATAAGCATGTTGGTAATTGTTCGTCAAGAAATACCAGAAAGAGGACAGCTTTCCACATTCTATAGTTGCCAGCTGGACAGTATTGTAATGCTTATATGAATTAGAAGTTTGTAACTCTGGTTTGAGCAATCGTCTTGTTGCTATTAAATTTTCATAGCTGTAGGATGCAGCATTTAGTCAGTTGCTAGTTTCATATTTTGAAGATATTGTCATTATCTTGAACTTTTCCATATTATAGAATATATATCTTCATGGGTAGTATTTTCCAATTCTTTATGTATTTATAGTTAATTGTAACAAATGTAAAGTAAAGTGTGAACATAAGCAAATGATTCCACAATGCTTCATTATTGTGTCAAAAATTTCATCATTGTAAGAAAAATTTAATAACCCTTTGGATCCAGGTGCCCTGCAGCTCACATGTGGACCAAAATCCAGGCATTAGGTTTACTCTCCCAAATGTTTGGCATGTATGCCTAGAACACTCGTATCAAAACGCCTTGCCTCCCATTTGCCATAGTATTTATTTTTCTGCCAAATTATTTTTGCTATTATCCAAGACTATATTTTTCATTTGTTATACTGTATCAAGATGGTAGTAGACTTTTCCCTAAACAGATTACATATTTCCTCTGTAGGAAGTCTACAACTAAAATAGTAAGAATAGGTAACATTGGCCTATTTGTTTCCATTTTAATATTTTTGTAATATTCAACTTTCTGTATCAGACACGCTGCTGGTCATGACGAGCAGGAATAGGATGTCAATAGTGTTCTCCCTGGAGCCCGCACTCTTCCAGGCATGGCTCACAAATGGTACATTCCACCCTTGTTTACCAATGGAACTAATATTAGAGCCCCTTCCTTCCTAAATGCCCACTCTGTTTTCTAAGAGTTTTGTGCACTCATGATGAGTCATTCCTGTCACCCCAGCCCTCTACCATATTTTTTATGTAGCACGTTCACATCGCTCGCTCCAGCTCTCAGCCAAATATTTTCATGATGGCATATTTCCGTCACCCATCCCTCAGTCAAGTTTGTTCTCGTGGTGTCACATCACCTGGATCCAATGGGTATTGTTAAATCCATTGCATTATGGAATGATTATATTTTGATATTACTTTAGTAATATGGAGTGTTATCACATGTCTTTTGGAATGATTTCTTCATCCTTTTTCTCAATTGGTGCAAATGTGTGAATTCAATCATATGGGAATGACTTAATGCAAATAGTTCATTGCCAGTTTAGATTAATGTTAAACAATGAGAAATGTTGGGAATTAGCATTCTGTAGAATAGCATTTTTGAGAATATACTACAATATTTATTTGTAGAAAAAAATGTTTTTGAAGTATTTCAGCAAAGTTGACTGTTGCACTGTAGTTTATACTTAAACTCACATTATCTTACATTATACATATAAAGTTCTTATATTAATGGATTTAGGTAAATTTAGAACCATCAGTATAGAAATGAGCTATTTTAAATGGATGGGTTGAGTCACAGTTCTGTTTTTCTTTCTGTATTTTTTGTGATTACTTATGGCAGTATGACTAGTGTGTAATCAGCATTACTATGATAAATTAGTTAATCACATGAATTAGTGACCAGCATATAGCAAGAAAATTTATCTGGGACCTATGTTGATTTCATACATGTCAAAAAAAAAACTAAGCATTACTTAGGGTGGCTTAGGAATATGAATGTGTTCCATAGATTGTTACAGCTTAATACTATTACTGTCACTAATGACAGTTTGGTAGATTTCAACACAGTTCCTCTTGACATGCACTTTCATGTGCCTTAGCATCTAACCATATAATGGTTATATGCCAAGTGGGCATGTGCATTCCTTTTATTTTGTACTTGCAACTCGTGAAATGATGATAAGATGAAATTAACTTTTCTTAGGGTACAAGATATCTGTGTATAATTGATATATGAATAATCCTTGTATTGTAAAATGTGTGTATGTTGCAGAAGCTCATTGTCTCTGGTTGGTATGTATTTTATGCCATACTGAGAATGGCTGTCTCACCAGAGGGATGGTCATGTCATCATTATTTTAGTCCAATCCCTGTTTATTGCCATTTTACCATGCAAACTTAGCAACGTGGTGGCAAAAAGTAGCCCTAAGGCCTTAAATAATCATGCATGTCTGTATCAGAGCTACAAATTAGGACTTTATTGTTACATGTATGGTATAAAATAAGAAGTGTGCTTGTTGCCTGCGTAAGGTGCTTCCTGCCATGTGAACATGTGCATTGGGATTTAGCAGTTATGGTGTTATAAGGCACGGTTCAACTGGTCTGGCCTTAAGTGCAGCTATCTATGCTGAATTGTATCCTTTTGGTGCGATATCTGGCAGCTGAGGGGAGCCAGCAGTAACACGACTGAGAGCATTTTTTGCTCAAGTATCTCCAGGCTTTACAGGGTGCAATTTAAAATTATTGTCTATAATTCACGTAAAGAAATGTCAATATCTGTAAAGTCAATAAAAGGTATATTAGAGATTTAATATAAAACAATTAGAGTTAATAATCATGAAATTCATTTTTTAATTACCAAAAATGAATAAACAAGAAATGGCTTATTTGAAACGGAAGATCTACACTTGCGTCAATGGCCCATCAGATAGTTAATAATTTTGAATCTGTAAATTGTTTTCCGTGCTTCTTATCTAAAATATATATGCTATGAAACACAAAACTATTGTGAAACGAATAAGTCCTTGTCTTTGATGTTGCTCAAACAAGAAGTATTATGGGTGTTATTCTTCAAGAGAAAAGAAGGATGTGTAGTCTCATGCAGGTTTGCTTTTCACAGTTGAAGAACTAAGTCTGGCTGGGCACTTGGACACAAGTCAGATCCTAGACCAAGACAAGGCCAGTTGAACCGAGCCTTTAGGCAGCCTCAATTGTAGCAGTGGATCCAAGCATAATTTTGTCTTGATACGCCCTTGAGTTCAGTATTCAGTATTTATTATTCTGTGGTCAAAAAGTAGAATATTTCAGTCAGTGTTGTATGAGTCCATTGTTTTCAGATTCATGGATGACTAGTATAGGTAGTTTGTGTTTCTGTATGTAATTTAACTGTACCTAGCACCATGGCCATTCAGTTGTACTTCATATTTAAACTGCTTTCATCATTGTCAGGCTTCAACAGTTTGCTTAGTACAGTAGGAGTCTTTCTAATGATTTTTCTGAGAAGCGAGCCATATGTCATTCATAATTTCTCTCTCTCTCTCTCTCTCTCTCTCTCTCTTCTCTCTTCTCTCTCTTCTCTCTCTTCTCTCTCTTCTCTCTCTCTCTCTCTCTCTCTCTCTCTCTCTCTCTCTCTTCTCTCTTGCTCTCTCTTCTCTCTTGCTCTCTCTCTTCTTTTTTTCTCTCTTTCGTCTCTCTTTTGGAGACAGAGAAAATAGTGAGGGGGAGCGTAAGAGAGATGAGAAGAGGAGAATGAGAGACGAGGAGGGAGAATGAGAGAGACAAGACAGACGAGAGGAGAAAAGTGAGAGAGAGATATGAAAAATGTGTGGGGGGCCCTTGTCTCTCTCTCTCTCTCTCTCTCTCTCTCTCTCTCTCTCTCTCTCTCTCTCTCTCTCTCTCTCTCTCTCTCTCTCTCTCTCTCTCTCTCTCTTTTCTCTCTCTCTCTCTCTCTTTTTCTCTCTCTCTCTTTTTTTCTCCTCTCTCTCTCTCTTTTTCTCTCTCTCTCTCTCTTTTCTCTATCTCCCTCTTTTTCTCTTTATCTCTATC